AAAAAACACATGATACAATAGACAAGAGGGAAAAAAAGAAAAAAAAGTGGTTAGAATAGTCTACCTTAGGGTTAGAATAGTCTACCTTAGGGTTTTAGCAGTGTAATTCATTTTTTCTCCCTAGTAATGTCTACCTTACTAAGAAGTACAGTTTACAAATGAAGATTTGCAAACTACTAACTCTATAGTTCAAACTAGTCTACTAAGAACAAGGAAACTGTGTTTAATCTGATACATGACTAATATTTAGTAATAAAGACAGAAATAGGAGTGTAGCTGAAGTTTTGTAGGTGATACACAATGTGTAATAGCAGTTATGCAGGTTCTAAACGTAGTAAGTAGTTTTTTTGATCAGTGGAGAGAAGTTTAGGGAAATAAGGTTCACTTGTAAGCTATTACCTTATGCATTTGGTGGATGCCTTCCTGTGGATAATCAGTAGGCCCCATTGTTGGCATTGGATGAGGGACACTGGGCGGACCAGGACTCGGCCCCATCATGCTGTGAACGGAGCCAGGAGATGGCCCTGGTCCTGGGCTAGGTCCTAGAATCGGTCCAGGCGAAGGTCCTGGTCCAGGAGAAGGACCAGGATGAGGCATGGTGCCAGGGTCTGTAGGCGTGGACATCTATTTTCTGTCTCCTTTTCAATTAGCAGAATAGGTCTAATAACAAAAGAAAACAAAACAAAAACAAACCCACAATTTCTATGTGACATTAGGGGCACTGAAAAAAACTTAATAAAATCTACAGGCAATTGTTACACACAGACACACACACATGCACGCTGTCACCAGCAGAAAAAGCTTAAATGACCCTTAATGTTGCCCACTGGCTTGCCCATTCTTCTACAAGCCCAATAGAAGGACAAGGATCCTGATACTTCCATCCATTTCTGGATGTTTGTATGTTACTCACAGAACAAAAAGTTGGTATGCTATGAAAAACATCTACCAGAAATAACAGCAGTTGAACTGACTTGCTATCATCAGACACATCATATGGGGTCAAGCACAGCACTACTAAAAGCAGGCAAGAGAGCTGGGCACCTCTGTGACCTATGTTTTCAAAAATCTCTCCCTGAAAAGCGACAACTGCCCTGAAATCCATACTTATAAAACTCATGGTAATGCAGCAAAACAAGCATTAAGAGAGTTATTAAGACTGTTTTCTGATCTTTGTTTTGTCTGCCCAAGAGACCCACACAGCACCAGCAGTGACAGCAGCAGATTTAAATATGGTTATGCTGCTCCCAGTCACCCCTCACCAAGGCCAGCAGCTCTGGTGCGGAGCCATGGATTGCAGCAAGAATGGCTGGAGCAAGGGGAATTGCAGGAGAGCACCAACACCCATGTGAAGCTGGCAGCTTGCCCTCGAATGGCTGACTCGGTGTGAGTGGAGCCAGCAAGAATGGTGGCTGCTCCCACTCTCTCATAAGGGGCCCAGAGATAGTGAGAGCAACCAGGGCACACTGGCAGGGCTCTGAACACACCCAGCAGTTCGTGAAGAGCACAGTCTTACTACAAATAACCATTCCCACAAGTATGGTTTTGACATGCCACGGAGCTCATTTCCCCATAACTGCACCAGTCACCAGTCACAGCAGTGTCAGAAGCCTCCAGTCAGCCAGATCGTCTCACGGTAGATGTAGCTCTCCGCGGTTGCCTAATGCCTCTCCATAAGGCTGGGACTGACAATCATTCCTTTCACGGAAGATGTGCTGTTGTCAATGAGCTGTGTTGCCAGGTGTCCTAGTTAGAACAGCTGGGACCGATTCATCATTGGATGGGTGTA